TAACACGAAAAAATAAATAATTTTAAGCGCGCGATAAGAACGAAATCATAGATAAATAGGCTTCGTAAAAAATGTTAATCTGCATTGTTATGCATCTAGTATTACGTTAATAGAGTACGCAAATTGTTCTTAAAATGTAAGATATACATATAACGTTAATAGATAATATATATCATAACTGTTAGATATTCTTGATAAAGAGATACATTTTATCTTTCACAAATAAAAACTACCTACAGTACTGGTAAACATATATAATAACATCATCTTATATAGTTTCATGTTATAGCTTAAGTTCTTTACCACTTATTCACAATTTATGTTTTTAGATTTAATGGGGGTAAAATTTACACATACATTGGAGAAGTATGTGTCAGTATAAATCCATACAGAAATATAAACATATATGACAATGATTATATTAATAAATATAAAGGTAATACCACTACATTACATACATTTTTTAATTTGTATAATTGTAATTTTTAAAAAAATTTCATTCTAGGTAGAGAATTATTTGAAAATCCACCTCACATTTTTGCAATTGCTGATGCAGTGCATAGAGAAATGAAACAACAAGGTCGTGATACCTGTATAGTTATAAGTGGAGAATCAGGATCTGGTAAAACAGAAGCAAGTAAAATTATTATGAAATACATTGCTGCAGTTACAAATTTAAGTGGTCAGCAAGAAATAGAAAGGTGTATAAATCATTTAAGAATTATAACTTACTGTAGTTAATTAGTATATGTCATTATTTTATTTAAAACAAATTGAAATGTAATAAAACAACTGTCCTTACTTGATATGTCTTTAGGATTTTATATTTTTAACATTTAAAATTATTTATTCTTATATGTCAGAGTAAAAAATATTCTTATACAATCCAATTCAATATTGGAAGCTTTTGGAAATGCAAAAACAAATAGAAATGATAATTCATCTCGATTTGGAAAGTATATGGACATAGATTTCAATTTCAAGGGGGATCCAATTGGAGGTCATGTTACAAATTATTTATTGGAAAAGTCAAGAGTTGTTTATCAACAAAGTGGTGAACGTAATTTTCATTGCTTTTATCAGGTATTATTAAAAATAAAATGTTTTTTTTAGTATTACAAAGACTATTGCATTTAAAAATATGCAAAGAGTTTTCTTTATAATTTATAGTTACTGAATGGCTGCAGTGAAGGAGAATTAAATAAAATGCGGCTAGTAAGAGATCCAGCTGCATACTTCTATGTTGGTGCTGGAAATTGTAATAAAGCAAGTCCAACTGATAAAAGTGACTATAAAGCAGTTATCTCTGCTATGTCTACCCTTGGATTCACTCAAAATGAAGTACAAACAATTTGGCATATGATTGCTGGCATATTACACTTGGTTTGTTATCATTAAAATAGTGAGAAAAATTGAAATTTCATTACTTTATTTCTAATACAGTTTGGTTTATAGGGTAACATTACTTTTAAATTTAATGAGGACAAGCTTTTGATTCAAAACAAAGCTGCATTAAATGATACAGCAAATTTATTTTCTATTATCCCACAAGAATTAAGTACAGCTCTTACACAAAGAGTTATTGCAGCAGGAGGAGAAGTTATGCAAAAAACTCATACTTCAACAGAAGCAGAATATGGAAGAGATGCCTTAGCAAAAGTAATACTTTTTATAATTTTGTAGTTTTGTTATTTAAAAAGTACGTAAACATAATGTATAATGTGCTATAAAAAATATTTTAGGCTATATATGAAAGGTTGTTTACTGAGATTGTATCACGCGTTAACGCTGCGATTAATGTAAATGACGAGGAAACTTATAAAAGGTATAGAACAGTAATTGGAGTACTTGATATATATGGTTTTGAAATTTTTGATGTAAATAGTTTTGAGCAATTCTGTATTAACTACTGCAATGAAAAATTACAACAATTATTCATTGGTAAGTGAGCCTTATAGAAAATTATGATATTAGGGGGATTAAACCAACATTTGATATTTTAGAATTAGTACTAAAACAAGAACAAGAGGAATATAAAAGGGAAGGAATAGCATGGCAAAATATTGATTATTTCAATAATCAAATAATTTGTGATTTAGTAGAACAATCCCATAAAGGAATTATAGCAATTATAGATGAAGCCTGTTTGACAGTTGGCAAAGTTACAGATGAGGTCAGTATTATTAACTTATTATTTTTATTGAAAAAGATTAATGTTATTTTATAAAAACTTCTATTTCAGATGCTTTTAGAAGCTATGGATAAAAAATTACTTGATCATAAACATTATACTTCCCGACAGTTGAAGCCAATGGATAAAGAACTACAACATAAAATTCAATTTAAAATTAAACACTATGCTGGGGATGTAATATATAACATCAATGGCTTTTTAGATAAAAATAAGGATACACTATATCAGGATTTTAAACGTTTACTTTACAATAGTAATAACCCAATAATTAGCAAAATGTGGCCTGAAGGAGCACAAAATATTTTAAAAGTATGTAAATGCATACACTATATTATTGTATATTAAACATTTTTTTTTTTTTTACCATGATACTATTGTATTTTAGACAACAAAAAGACCTTTAACAGCTGGAGCTCTTTTCCGTAGTTCCATGATAGCTCTAGTTAAGAATTTAACAAGCAAAGAACCATATTATGTTAGATGTATAAAACCTAATGAGATCAAATCACCAGTTGTATTTGACGAAGAAAGGGTAAATCATCAAGTACGATATTTAGGTCTTCTTGAGAATGTATTAGTTAGAAGAGCAGGTTTCGCATATCGTCAACGATATGACACATTTTTAAAACGGTATTGTTATTTTGATGTGATATTGTACGATAGAAATAGGACTATTATATTACTGATAACATTTTCTTTATCAGATACAAAATGATATCTCAATACACATGGCCAAATTTTAGAGGTGGTAGTGATAAAGATGGTGTACGTACATTAATGAATGAAAAACATTTCAGTAATGATGTTGAATATGGCCATACTAAAATATTTATTCGTTCACCACGAACACTTTTTGCATTAGAAAAGGTTTGTTGATTGATGTCTATTAATTAGTTTGACAGATTTATAAAGAATTATTTACTTTTAGGCACGTAGCGATTTGATCCCAGATATTGTAATATTATTACAAAAACAATGGAGAGGATATTTGTGTCGTCAAAAGTATAAAAAGATGAAAGCTGCCCTTGTTATAATGAATCATTATCAAAAATATAAAATGCATGCTTATATCAAGGAATTGGAAAAGATTTTCCGAAATGCAAAGACAATGCGAAATTACGGTAAAAATTTAAGTTGGCCTCGTGAAAATTTCGCCGTAAGGCATATAATATTTGTTTTGAAAGTAATGTATGAAAGATGGTGGGCATGGATGATCCTCAGGCTTATCCCTAGGGAAGATTGGCCTCAACTAAGATTGAAGGTATACATTTCGTTAATCGAAACGCTTAATTTTAATTTCAGTTTTACATATTAATGTAATCTTAGATGGCTGCGGGAATAGTTTTGCGCTCAAAGCGACTTCATTGGGGACAAGATAGACGATGGGAAGGAAATTACCTCTCTAAGCCAGATGAAAATTCGCAAAGTGATGTTTTTAATTCTTCGATAAATAATCTTCGCAATACTGATCATTTTAAAACTGTTTTATTTAGTGCATTTGTTAGAAAAACCAATAGGTGTGTACAAAGTATCATATTACATACTGAACTTCAACAGTTTTATTCTATATAAATTATGATTACAGATTTAATAAACAAAAAGATCGTGTATTAGTAGTTACTGAACATGCAATATATAAACTTGAAAATTCTAAATTCAAAAGTATGAAAAAAGGCATGCCAATAACAGAGATAACAGGTTTAAGTGTATCGCCTGGAAAGGACCAACTTGTAACAATTCATTCAAATCGAGGAAATGATTTCATTATATCGATCATTGCTAAAGATGATCGAGTCGGAGAACTTGTTGGCATTTTAAGCAATAGATATAGTCAGTGAGTATATGTTTACTGTTCAAAATTTTGTTTGGTAAATCTTTATTTCCTTAATATAATAAGAGTAAAATACTACGAGTCGAAGTACATCCTGAAGTTATTGAGCCAACATTCAAAAAGGAAGGCGATAATATTATATTTGCTATTCCGCCGTCAGTTAGTATAATTGACGGAGGTGCTAATACTAGGTTTCACCCTAGGACTACTAATTAAAACAGTACCAAGCTTTCATATGCATTTTTCAATGTACAAATAATATTAGGAAAATTAATAGAGTCATAATTTAAAAACAAGTAACATTATATTAACCTAATAACATATAATGTTTGCTAGTGAAACTCCATAAAATATATTATGAATAATGAATTCACTAAGCAACTGTATGGAAAGAGTTCATTGCAGTGTTCAACGAAATTCTTTTCTGTAAATACGTACAAAGCTAAATCCATTGAGGGTAATGCATTTCTACACATGAGGAATAAGTGCATTATTTATGTGAATAAATTGTAAATTTTTAAATTGGAACGATATATAGGATTTAAGAGAATTAAGACAGTATTGTTTTAAGAAGGTATCATTATTTGATACGGTAGCCTTAAATATTTCCTAATATGGCATTCTACTTAAAGTATTTTTGAAAATATATTTTTACACTGCAGTTAAATATTTATATATTATGTGAAAATTTAATAAGATTTGTAAATTACAATTTATATTCGTGTTAAAATTGCTATATAGACTAATCAAATGTTACAGTTTTAAACAAATGATTAATATTAAGAACATAATAAAAACTTCACTGTTAATAAAAAGTTTGTTACATAGTTATTACATTGAAAATTTTCTAATTATGTTAATATCACATTTTAACAATACTGTAATATTTGACAAAATAAAGGTATACAACGATATAGCACATTGTAAAACGGTGCCATTGTTAAGAGATAAACTGATGTTTTTATATATTTAAGTTTATGCATACATGATTGTATCAGTAACTATACACAAGTAATAAATTGTTTACATAGGATGAAAGAAGCTTCTACTAAATCTAAAATATTTCAACATAAATTGAAAAATCAAAATTTTTTCCATGTTACATTTTTTATTGGTGAAGAATAATAGAATACATTTTTTATACAAAATAATTGTATAATCTAATCAATGCGTTGATATAGATATATGTATCCTAATTCTTTTGGTGGATTTTCAGATAATGCAACCTACAATAGATAATTTATATAGGTATTTTTATAATTTTATAAATTATTTTGTCCTTATAATACATACCTTGTCATCATTGTATATCACCCATCGATCATTTTTCAGAAGATGACACACATAATGTCCTACCATTGTTGATGTACCCATATGTGATATAAATCCTACTAATTTATATTCTAAAATATACAAATACAGATAATCAATTACAAAACTTGTAGATTTATCTCAAATGCTATTAAAAATATGAAAGAACATACGATTGCTTCCATCTCTAAATATCTCCTCGGAATGTCCTGGTTCGTCTTCAATTTCTAAAGCATCTAATTCGGCTTGATGACTAAAAATCCAATCTGCTGCACGTTCTAAATTATTATCGGTTGCTTTGAGAGCTTTCGTTGCTTGTTCTCTTGTAAAGCCCATTCCCATTACCATCGTCACTGCATCTTCATTTGCCATAAATTTATCTTTTTCTAAAATTGAATGAAACAAAAGATAGAGATGAATTTTCTTCAGTTCACTTATAAACGACATTAAGAAAACGTTAAATTACCTGGCTTCACGTCGATTCCAGGAGGCACGAAGAGATCCGCAAAATCTGAATCTCCAATGTGTTCCATTAACCAGTAAGTAGCTGCTCCTAAATCACGATTTTCTGTAAAATATAAAGCCTTTCTACAAGCTTCTGGTGGAAATCCCATATCTGTCAATGCAGTCAACATAACAGAATCATAATTTGGTTGTGGAGCTTCAGCTGTTTCTGGCAATAATTCTTCGGTAGGTTGTAGACCAGAACCCCGAAGAGAACTTAAATCCAATATATCTGGCATTTCAATTGCAACATCTAACTTAGTAGGTGTCCAATCTTCTTTCATTGTGAATTTTTTTAAATGGATTAATAGATAATCCGGAAAAGTAGCAAGTCTAGTTGTTCTATAAAGATATGCACTTGTTAATTATACACAATATACACTGTATAAATTATAACTTACTTCTGTGCTGTAGTTTTTTCATTTAGAGCAGAACTATAAAATTGCTCTACTGTTTCTGACCGAATAAATGCTTGCAGACAAGACAAAAGTTTTATACGTGGTCTGACAAGGGTATTTGAGTCTAACTTTTGTCCTTTTGCCTCAGTTTCTTTTTTTAATGCCTCATAAGCTCTGATTTCATCCTGTACATTAATATTTTTATAGGTAATATACTGTATTTAAAGATAAATTTTGTAATTATCTAAAAATTATGTAAGTGATTTACCTTGTTTACAGCGGCTTCTACAGGTATTGGAAGCGGTAATAAGTACTCTGGACGATAGGTATACTTTACTTTGTTAGAACGATTGCACTGATACCTTTCTTCAACTTTGAATTTCAAACAATCAGTAGGATTCGGTTGATGGCGACTGTGACGCTGTACGATCAATTTCCTGATATTAGTATTGTAATTTCATATAAATGAAATATTTTTATGTGTGTGTGCGTGTGTATTTTTGAAAATCTAAAATGTAATTACATCTATAATATTTAAGATGTGAAGAAAGAATTCTTGCGCATCTTGTTGCCAATTTGAAGAAAATACAGGATGTCCACGACAAACTAACGTTTTAAACATCCGCGGAGGAATACCCTGACGTGATTCGTTTTCGTTGTTCGTATTTGGTGGAATTGAATATTTACCAGAAAGTAAACCAATACCAAGCTTAGCCCTACAACAACAATCTCTTATATCTAAAAGTCATTTATATGCAATACTTTTGTGTTCCTTAACTTACATTTGAACCTCAAAATTATTTGGTGGATCAATATAATTCTGCTGAAATATCTGTGGTGCACCATCTACAAATCTGAAATTCATCTCCAATTATTACAAACTGATCCTATTGCAAAGAAAAACAATGTTCCTTTAAAAACTATATTATTCCAACAATTATTATAATACTGGTAAAATTCCTTTTTTGTACAATATAAAAAGCTTTATAGACATGTATTATAGAAATATAAAACAAAATTGATCTATTTAACATCAAGTTACAAACCTTTTAACAAAATCTGGAATTATAAACAACATTTGCATCACACTATTTATATAACAAGAGTTTCCTAAGTTGGCAAGTCCTGTATATCCAGGACCATACAAAGGTGTTAATTTACTTGCTGCTTCTTGAAGTGCAACCCATTCACCAAATCTTTGATTGAGATCTAATTCAAGCTCTACCATGGATTTATCAGTTTTTTCCATTTGAGCAACATTAATACCCCAATGAGCTAAATGTGATACTAAATTTGGATCTTCAACCATGTCATCTTCATCATATGAAAATACATCTCCTTTTCCTTCTTTAGTTATGGTTCCTAATTTCACTGCTAAAGGGTAACCAGTAGCTCGATAATGTTCAACTGCATGATCATTTCCTCCAGTTCCATCATAAAATTTACGTCCACAAAGTATACTGCCATCAGTTAAATTAAGCCAGAGATTTTGAGTTAAATCACATTTTTCACATTTCCATCCACTTGGAAGTATCTTTTTTCCATTATCAAATTGTTTAAGATTTGTTGCATGTCTAAAAGTTTGATGATTATATAAAATAACAATAAAAGAATATTTTATATTAATGTTCTAGTCTTCATCCTCACTTTGAAACTGCTTTTATTTCCCCATCCCAAGTTCCAGATAGTGCTTCTATTTCTGCTAGTTTTGTTGCAGATTCTGCCTCTAATATACATTTAATTGCAAGTTCAACCTATATAAATTTGTAATATAATTTGTAGTTATTTTTATTTCTTATTTTTTTTTTTTTTTAATACAAGGCTCACTTCTTGTGGCAAGTTGTCTGTTGGGTATGGTATTGTTGTGAAATTTGGTAGAATAACAATTTGATAAGATTCATGATAAGTATATGTTTGCTGATCTGGTGTAAATCCATCTGTTATTCCTATTGCTAATCTAGTAATTTTCTTCTCAGGACCATCTCCTTGATGTTTAGAAGGAATCTATAAATATTAATATTATTTACCATTAAAAATTTAATTTGAAATATGTACAAATAAACTATATTTTATGCTAGAATACATTTTTCTTTACGTATCTCTTGAAATTTAACGAATAATTTACCTCTTTTCTTCTTCTTTTAATGTGTAAAAATACAGGATTTTCTGTTAATTGATAGTAATGTTGTACATAATCTTGACCTAATCCCAAGAACGTGGTAAAATTAACATACAGTCCAGTAGGAGTATCCTTGAAAAAAGAAAACAATAGAAATAATTATAATGTTATTATATTATCGCTTCCAATTGTAAGATCATCATGACATCTTACAGGAGTATCGAAAGAATAAACACACTCATCCTTGTATATTTTATCGTGTTTCTGCGGTATCCTTATTTTGGATAAATGTTTCATCAGCTCCTCCATTATAAACAAAATGTAATCACTATAAAAAAAACGAAAGTGTTTGTATGAATGGAAAGTAACCTATTTAATGACCGCCGGTTTGCCGTATTGATGATACGCGTGATTTGAGAAATGAGACGAAGGAACCAGAATGTATTCGATTCTTCTCGTTTCTCTTTAAAAACCAGTGGTGCTCAATATCCATCACAGTGTTTTCGAATTTCAAATTCGGTATAGTTTACTCGAGTGAATCGACAAAAGACACCATGAGAAGAAATAAAACATTGTTCTTTATATTTTTTAATCAAGTAATTGAAAGTATTATCTTTCTTTAATTTTGATTTTAATACATTGGAACTTCTATTGCAGAAACGTACCGAATAGGGCAAGCCTTGTTTGTTTCGCTGTACAAGCAGTCGTTTGAGCAGACCGTAGTTGGATATTATATACGTACATGATGATTCATACTATCGTTAACCTAAAATAAAGTTTATATTTTATTTACTGGGAAATAATAAGTTCTGTTAAAAAAGAAGTTTAATTAAATCATGTATATTGTTTGTTGTATATCTTTATTATAATTTTTATTTAATTTTAGAACCGATAAATATTTCTTAGTAGCAAATACTATAATATTATAATTTGTCATGTATCATATGTGAATATTTCAAATATAATTAATTGTTTAATACATTTCCTTCTGTATTAGATTTACAATGTTACTTTTGGAACCAGGAGAAATATTTTTTGAAGACTATAGTGTTCAAATGAAAATGGTTGATACTTCTACTGCAGATAAACAAAATTGGATAGATGGAAGATTAAAGTTATGTTCAAAATCTTTAGTATTTGTAAGTAAGGATATTAATCAGCCTTTAATTAAAATTCAACTCAAAGAGACTATAGATATTGATCAATGTGAATCTAACAGCGATACAGCAAAGTTAGTACATATTTGTATTTTGCAACTTATAACTACTTATTCTTTTATTGCTACTAAATTTTGTTATATTCATTAGATCTAATAATATATTATTGGTCCAATGTAAACAATATGTGGAGATGTTAGAAAAAAATATACTTGCACCATATAAATTTATACACCAGACTGCCACATTTCACTTCTACTTTAATTATGCAAAAGTAAATGAACGTCTTCCACAAATTTTACAATTACTCAGAGCAGCTACTTTACCAACTGCAGAACAAAATGTTATGGTATGTGTCCACAATAATTACTTTCACAATTATATTAAAATATAAATGTATTGAATTATTATTGTATAGATTATGGCTATTGTGCTCTCCCGACAATCTAGAGTATCATTTGATACATCATGGTTGGAGAATTTATATGAACAAGTTGTGTTAGAAACTCAAGCAAATAAAGTGTTACCTCTTGTGATAAATCCGGGAAGAATACTTTTAACAACATCAAGAATTTATTTTCAACCTTATAATAATTTGGATCAAGTATGTATTTTGTAATAACAATGATAAAAGATTCCTACATAGATTATAAAAAAATTTTTCATTTTTAGTACCCAGTTCTAAAAATACAATTAAAGGATATTATTAATATTATTAAAAGAAGGTTTCTTTTAAGACAAACTGTAAGTATAGTTTTTTACTTCAATGTGTAATTATTATAATTTGATACATACCAATTTTATTTACAATAGGGACTCGAGATTAAATGGTTAAAGCAACCAGAAAATAAAGTTGAACATTTATTTATATCATTGAAAAGTCAAAATGATAGGGATGAATTATACACAAGTTTATTAAATCAAGCCGCAGTTTCTTTAGAAAGAGTACCTCAAGATCAAATGACATTAAGATGGCAAAATGGTTCTTTGTCAAATTATGATTATCTTTTATACATTAACAGGTAACTTAAAAGAATTAAAATAATTAATGTAAGACATTAATTTAAATATCATTTTTTAGTTTGGCAGATAGAACTTTTCATGATTTAACTCAATATCCAGTTATGCCATGGGTAATACAAGATTACACATCCCCTAAATTGGATCTAAATGATCCCAGTATTTATAGAGATCTTTCAAAACCTATTGGAGCTCTTGAAAAAAGTCGATTAGAAAGATTAAAGGTATTTAGCTTTTCTAGGACATAACTCATATATGTTAAAAATATGATAATAACATTATTATATCTCAGGAACGGTATTTGGAAATGTCAGAACCAAAATTTTTATATGGTTCTCATTATAGTGCACCAGGATTTGTATTATTTTATTTAGTACGAAAGTTCCCTCAGTACATGCTTTGTTTACAAAATGGAAGATTTGATCATCCAGACAGGATGTTCAATAGGTATGTATTTTCTTCTTTTTTTATCAAAATATACAGGGTAAGTTACACAATTTGTCCACCGCGAATAACTTGTAAAGTATATATTCTACAAAATAGTGTTTTATATAGAAATTGTAAAAATAATAAATATATGTGAACGAAATTTTGTATCATATAGACAAGGCAAAATTTTATGGTAATTGCTTTTTATACTGCAAAAGTACATAATTACTCTGTCAACTCTGCAGAATCGATTTTTTGTTTGACTCTTACCAACAAAAATACCTAACAGTGTAGCTGACGTATGGAAAAATGTTTTGGTGAACATGTCTGACTTTAAAGAGCTGATCCCAGAATTTTATGACACAAACAATGGTGGTGATTTTTTAGTAAATAGTTATGGTATTGATTTTGGTTATCGACATGATGGTACAAAAATAGGAGATGTACAATTACCACCATGGGCAAATGGTATGCTTTATAATTTAGAAGTAGTAATTGTTTTAAATTTAATACACATTCGTTAATGCATTTTAGGACCGACTCATTTCGTACAAGTGTTAAGAAACGCTTTAGAGAACGATTTTGTTTCTCAAAATCTTCATCATTGGATTGACTTAATTTTCGGATATAAGCAAAGAGGAATTGAAGCAGAGAAAGCTAACAATGGTAAGTGAATATTTAATTGTAAAACTTGTTACACATGTAATACTTATTTTATAACATATTGCATTTCAGTATTTTTCCATTTATGCTATGAAGGAGCAGTAGACCTAGATACTATTCGAGATATTAATGAAAGGCATGGTTTAGAGATACAAATTATGGAATTTGGTCAAATACCAAAGCAAGTTTTTACTTTACCACATCCTAAACGTACTGTATCCATTCTGGATAAATTGTGTACTGAAACGATTTTAATGTCGATTAAAAGTGAAACAGGTGTGCTACTTGTTCCAATTTATAAGTTAAATTTTAATAAAATATGGATTTATTGTATACAATGAAGGATACTTTCTTTCAGAAGACAGAGAAGATACCATACAGAAGATTTTCGAATTACATGAATTAATAATATTTCAATCTCATAAAGAAAGTGTAAGTAGCATTACTGTACCAGATAAGGAAGAAATTGATGAAGTAATATCTGTTGGACAAGATGGAATGCTTAAGTTATACAGTATTAAAAATAAAAAACTAACTCGAAGTGTGTCTTTGTCGTCATTACCACTTTCCTCTTGTGTATCATATTATACGTCTTCTCACCGCAATGTATTAGTTGCCGGTTCCTGGGACAATTCATTGTAAGCATGTGAAATATATGTATATACTTTTTTACTTTCCTATTAAATTTGGTAAAGTAATAGATGTACTACAAGGACATGAAGATGCTGTGTCTTGCTTGGCATTAAGTATTACTCGACAGATTATTATCTCTGGTTCATGGGATTGTACAGCAAAAATTTGGAAATGTTATACATCTGGGACAAAAATTAAACCAGCTGAATACTTTATTGTACAATTAGATCATGATTCTAAAGTAACTTGCATCAATATATCACGGTAAAATTGTGTTTTTTATAGTTCATAAATTATGTATTAAAAATTACATTTGTGCCATCTTAATTATGAAAATCTTTGCAGAGATGAAACTTTATTGGTATCTGGTACAGAAGATGGGGAAATTTTTTTATGGAATATGGATACTTATAATTTACAATTTACTGTAAAAGGTACTTCTTAAGATAACTATTTTTTTTTATTTCAAGATGTAAAACCATGTTTGTTCTATACAGCACATAGTTGTAAAATAAATTCAATGGTATTTGATCAAGAAGGAAGAAGTATAATATCATGTGCAGAGGACAAGGTATTAAATATAATCGATGTTCATACAAGCACTCAAACTTATCGTACATCCATCGAACATGAACCTTTAACGCTAGTATGGTTCGATACCTTTTTATTGGTAGGAGATAACAATGGAAATATTAATGTATGGAACCATCAAGGTGCAGTTTTTATTTCACAGATACATTGCCATGATGGTACAGTATACTACATATTAATACATTAACTACCTATATTTACATTATAATGCCAAATCTTTAAATACTTCATTTAAGTTTGGTTCTTTCATTAATTAAAAGGACAATTATTTTCTAGGACCAATTAATGCGTTATCAGTATCAAAACAAAATAATGTAGTTTTAACTGGTGGAAAAGATAGGAAGATAATCGTATGGGACTATAAAAAAATGTGATTTCTCTTATAATATCTATATTATTACTGGAAATTTTGCTTGGTTGTAAGTTTTAACTGTCAATTTATAGTAGAACTTTTTAACTTAATACATATAACATATAACAAAAAAGTTGCACGTAAAACACACGTTATATTCATTTGAAATTGTTACAATATTCGGTGATAGTTTAACGTATGTTGCATGTTTATAATATTTTACTATATTTTGTTACACCGTTATGTATTCCTAACAATTTATAAAGTCTCAAATACAAACATTACACACATTTAAAATACTGTTTTTTTTTTCTTTAACATGTGCTTTTTTATCATCTTCATTTTACAATAAATCTTTGTGCATTAATTTATAAATAATGATATGTAGCATATAGTTTAAAAAATTTTTTTAAATGTATTTCATAAATTCTAATATTCAGTCTTATTATTTTTATGAAAATGTAAATCTAAACATAAAGAACATAAAATTAACATAATTTATGATTATATTTAAATTTCTAAAAATTCATAAAAATTAAAGGGTAATACAAGACTTATGAAATGCAATTGTAATGTGCATCCTGAGATAGAGATTAAATGCTGACTAGTAGTGTCGTAAACTTTTCACCGAGCTCAAACAGTATTTACGCTAGTTTTGTCAAATGTTTCAAAAGTAAAGAATATACTTTCATTAATGATTGCAATTTTGCTACCATCAAGGAAAATAAATTCTATTTATTTTTGGTATACTGCCTGCATAGTTTTATATATATGTATATCCAACAGACCCATCAATATTCATAAAAATAAATTATATGATACAAACGTAAATTATATCCTGTCACTACTACCACTGTTTTATCACATATACACATACACACATGCATACTTCCTCATTTTATCTACTTTTTTTATTTATTACTATTTAATAACTGTGAATGATCTAGTTGTTTCAACTGTTCATATGTAATAAAAAATATAATATTCCATGGCCCCATTCTAAACCATGTGGGTACAAAACCTTTGTATAAAGCTAAAAATCCTTCATTTTTAAAAGTCTGCAAGAGTAATAAAATTATATAAAAAGTTGTTAAAAAATGTAAAAAATATATACTTGTTATTTGATATTATATACCTGCACAAAGCAATCTATACTACCACTGTAAATATGAGGTGATAGCACACCACCTGAAGTACGTATCCTCCTTTGATTCATTAAACGAGTCTACAACGGTATTGTTATTTACGTAAAAACCACTGACAATAAAATATTGATTGCTTATACTTACGCGAACAACGTCTATCGGAGTAGAAGCTACTGCACTTCCCATACTAGCTATAAAACTGGACCTGAAATATGTAATTACATGTACATATTATACATTCATATGTATATTATACATTCAATGTCAATTGTGAAAGTTAAAATTACTATATATATAAACGCAATCGTACATTTCTTTTCCTAAATTACAATTCTATTCCATTGTGATGAGTTAAAGCAACCCTTATCCAGGCATTATCAATTCAGATGCACATTGTGATGTCTGCGATCTTATATAAAATAATTTGTATGAAAAAATCTGTTTAGTGTTTTTTAATGCTCAATGCATAAAATCAATAAAAAAAAGTACATGAAGTACAGTTTTTATTATTATTAATTCTAAGAATGCAAATGAATTTGTGTAAAATGCTAACCAAAAAGATTCATGATGAAATTCAAGATGATTAATCATCTGGATAACAGTATTAACAATTTTTATATAAACAAAAATTACTAAACACAACTTCCGTTTTGATTCTCTGTGGTCATCTCAATGTCCACGTACTGCATGTGCCCATGTGCACCACAGTGTGAAAGAACCTGGAAATAAAATTTTTCACTTTTAGAAAAATATTACTTCCTTTCTAAACAAATATATAACCATTACAGTATTAATATTTTTGAGCACAAATTGTTTGACATAAAACATTTCACTGGTTACCTGCATGTCTTAAGAAAAACGTTTATACTCTATCATGTATAAAAACAGTTTTCTATGTTGGAAAGAAATTAAAAGTTAAAATACATATTTTGATTTGTTAGTTACAAAATT